ACATCCTGTCATATTTTTTTCTCCCAAGGTTCCCCAAGAAGGCAGAGACCATTTGGAAAGAAGCAAGAGCAGGAGAGAACCTGCTTCCTACAGGTGCGGTCTTCAGATTTCTGCTACTGCAAACAAAAATAGTTTTCTCCCCCTCTCCCCACCCTGTGACAAAGAGAGCACAAACAGGAGACCAGAGGTAGTGAGGGGGTTGGATACCATTTTCTTTTTTTGATCCTGCTAGTTTAGGTCTCCACTTCAGGCTGGACAAATCAGAGAGGTTTCTATTAACCATGGGCATTTTCTAACCTTGACTGGAAATTAAGGGCATTCTCCACATTTCTATCTGACCTTATAACCTCTTTGCAGTGCCCTACAATGCACTTTTCACATGCCTTTAAGAGGAATTTCACTGCCTCATCTCCCTTCTTTCTGACCCATCAACTTTTTGGACCACCATTGAGGGCTATAAAGGAGCAAGATGAAATCATGATAGCCTGACAGAGGAGATATTGAAATGGGATAGAAGCTGACAAGACACAGAAGGGGAGGTGTTTTCCAGTGCTCTGTCTGTTTTCTGGAGGACTCAGAGCTGGCTTGGGAGAGGAGAGGAGAAAAACATGGATCAAAAGACTTAGAAACAAACTGATTACTGGCTGACCCACTGGGGATGTTGAAATAATTAAGGGAACCAACAGCATGGAAATTGGGGAAGGGGGAGAAAGGAACCAAGAGGGAGATTCCTGTGGTAGGAGAAGACTGAAAACAAAGTAGGGATTTTGACTTTGCCTTCCCACGGCAATCCGAAGCAAAAATGGGTCAGAGAGAGAATGGAGGTTTATTTAAAGAAAGGAACCAGGGTAGTGTGTGGATAAGAGGTGGAGAATCTCCTTTCAGTCTTCTGCTACAAGCATCTTTCCCTATTTTTAATTCCCAAAAGGTAATGGGAGACCAAGGCAACCAGGGACCTGGGCCTGCACTGGGGGAGAAAAATAGAAAAAAAAGCCAGGCATGAGTAGGAGAAAAGGGATGTAGAAATAGACCCAAGTGGGACTAATTCTAGTAGGAGAATTGTTTGGCAAGAAATTCCCCTCTTTCACCAAAGACCCCAAATGTTTAGCTTGGGCTCCTGCCCATCCAGATAAATCAAGACGACAGATTAGGAAGTTCATAAAATTGTATCTGTGGGTAATGACATTCAGAGTGTTAATAAATATCCCTTCCAGCTCTAGTTGGGAGTGGTGTATGTATGTGGGGATTGGGGGATATCTTCTAGCTCTGTTACCCAGCCTGAGTAGGGAAAAGCAGTTTTTAATTAAAGTTAACCTCTCTCCAAGGTGTGGGATAGGGACAGGGGGAAGGAAGCTGCTGCAAGATCAGGAAATACCTGAGAAAGGTAGACTGGGGAGACAGGATGTATGGCTTTCCCTGAATAAGAGAGAAAAGGCAATTGTAGTGGGGGAATGAACATGAGAAGCGGATTCCTCCTACACCAGCATCACTCCCCCTCCTCTTTCAACTCCAGGACCGCAGCATCTTCTCACTAAACCATGCTCAAGTCAAAAAATTCAATTCTCCTTTAATCCTAAAGAGGCAAATGAAAGCAACGAACACCTGGAATGAGTGGCCCCCAGCTCCCATCTGGTTCACCCCTGCCCTTCTCTTTTCTCTCAAGAAATTGAAGACTTTCTATATCCCCTCTGTTATAGCCAACCTCTCTGAAGGAGGCTGGCCCAAAGAGATGGAAACTTGGTAGGGAACTCCTTATAAAGAGGACCAGAGGCATCCGGAGAGAAGCAGACAGGATTCCTCTTTCTGTCTTTCTATCTCTCTTCCTCTCTCAACATTTTCCTGATGACTTTTAACATCAGAGAAATGTGATTGTCTCTGTAATTGGGGAGGGGGAATGTTGCTCAAACTCAACCACGTTGAACAGACACTTCCTTTCTCTACTCTCTCATTGCTCTTCTTCCCTCTTTATCCTCCTCCTCTTTAGTTGGAGTAGAGATGAAATTTGGAGGAAAAAATGTAGATATATAGATATATATTTATATTGCCCCCATCCCACTCAAACAAATCTAAATGCTAACTACTTACATGTCAAGCGAATTTTTGACCTGTTGAGTATCGCCAGGCTCTTGGAGAAGGACCTTGGATGGATTGGTCGATGCTTCAGCCACATCTTCATTTTTATTTAGCCATTCGAGAGAGACACAATGCAATAACATGCATTCAGCTCAACTTGGCTCTCCCCCCACTCCACCCCATTACTATGGGGGAAAAAAATCCACAACCTTACAAAAGCTTCAAGACCCAGGGATAGTACATGGTGCAGAGCCCAGAGGGTCAGAGAAGGGGGGGGAGAGGTCAGGGCAGCTGTGGAATATAAAAGCGATGGCAGAGAAAATGTGTCCTCTCCGTGAACCTGAGTTGCATTCTCCCCTTGCCTTTCCCCTCTTCTCCACCCAACTTCAATAAAACCCCCCTCCCTTCCCCTTCATCAGGAAGGCAAACCAGAATGAAAGAGTTGCATTGGTGGGGAGGAAAAGCCAGGCTCAGGTATCCAGCCCCATTCCTGATCTCTTCACCCAGCATTCCTTCAGGGCAGTCTCTCCCCGATTCCTGGTGGTCATGTCCAAGGCAAAGGGGAAATTTTGGCAATAAGGACAAGACAGGCAAACTAGTAAAAGACAGGGCCACAGGCCAAAGCTACCTTGGGCATAAACTTTAAATAATTGATATCATTATTATTAGTAGTAATGTTTATTATTATAATCTATGATGTCTCTCCTCTGATCCAAACACAGAGAGAAAAAGAGGAGGAAACAAACAGAGATCAGAGGAGTGAAAGAAATAAAATAAATGTCCCCACTTCTGTCCCTATTTGACCCTAATTCTCCTCCCATTTGAAACTAAGGTCCCTGTGCCTGAAGTGATCTTCATGTAGTAAGTTCTGGCAAAACCAGAAATCAGAATTGTGGTTGGTTTTTCTTTTAATCTCCTTTCTACAACTTTCAGAAAAAAGAAAAAATCCCCGAAGAATAATAGATTCCTGGATAGAGTTAGGGGCACTATTTCGCTATTCCCTCCATCCTATCCTCATACTTTTCACTTTAGTTTTATTATAAACTACACACTATCCACTCTATATACTCTCTTCACAACTTCTCTTTCCTACCGCTGTGGAACATGCAAATCTTATCCCCTCCTGACCCCAAACCAATTGCCTTGAGATGATGGAAGCTTCATCTGTGATTCAGTTGCTAATTCACTTGATTACATAAAAATAACTTAGGATAATTATTGGTCTGCACTCCTGGAGCTGGATGAAAGAGGCAGTTTTGCCATCTCTAGAGTATGATCAAGGGTGGAGAAAAGAGGCCTGCAGGACCATTCTTTTCACCCAACCTACATCTCAATAACTACCCTACCAGCAAAGTGGATTCAAGAGAGAGAGAGAGAGAGAGAGAGAGAGAGAGAGAGAGAGAGAGAGAGAGAGAGAGAACGAGAACTAACCACACACATATTCCTCTACAACTTGACTTCTCTATTCAAGGAGGCCTTTAACTGGTCCTGTCACCTTTCATCCTAAGATCTGGTAAAGGAGAGCAAGATTTTGATGTAAGCCAAATCCAGAACAGTTCTTCTCTTTCCCTTTTAAAAAGAATACAGCTTCTAAGATCCCTTAATGTCCTGAAATTTGGACAGACTTCCTGGCAAGGAAAGGTCTGTGAGTTTTGAGGAAGAAAACTCTGTTACAACAATCAATTGAATTCAGATACTGTTCTTCCAATAAGCAAACAAAATATGTTCATGGAGGTTACTTGGGCCTGGTCTACAATGCTAAAATTATTGGCTCAAATTATCCAGATGATGGGGAGGGGAGAGTATTTATTTTTGTACATTTCTTCTTGAATTTCCAATTTTATTATAAACAAAATTATAAACTCATTTATCTCCCACAAGCCTGCCAAGGCCTAGATTGGGGTGGGGGAGAAAAGGGGGTTGAGATCTTTTTCTCTATGTACCTTTGCCCCACACCTGGCTAGTCTATGATAGGAGTTACGAGGGGAAAAAAAACATCTCCATTATCTACCAACACAAGGCTTTGAGGCCTACCCATGGAAGGAGGCCCTCTAGAGCCTCTGCTCTTCACCTCCCCCTCTATTCTTAGTCTAAACAAACAGAAAAAGTGGCCAAAGTGTCCCTTTAGTTGTCTTTAAAATGACTTTTTGGTTGTGGGATTGGTTGGGGGTACATCTCCTTTATGTCCTCTCAATCACAAAATAGCCCTATAAGATGACAAATGGGAAGCAGAATTGCATAGTAAGTGCCTTAGATTGAGAAAAACCTGAGTTTAAATACATACTAAGTTTAGATACATGCCCCAGATACATACTGTGTGAACCTGGGTAAATCACTTCTCCCCAGGCAAGTCTCTAAGACTATATATATCTGCATTGTTAGGAGCCCTTCACTGGGAGCTCTGTTCCAACAAAGTTATAGGTCCCATTTAAAAACAAAACAAAGCAAGACTGAAGACACTACCCCAGTCCAACTCTGCTTATCTCAAACCAAGCTCTGCTCTAAGGCAAGGAGGGGGTGGGGTAGGAAGAGAAACTAAGTGAGGGCACTTGCTACCTGAAAATAAGACACCCTCTGCCTCCCAACTCTACTGTCCCCACCCCCAGAGGATGCCTTCCTTTCTGAAAACTCAGTTTGAGGAGAGGTGAAAAGAGAACTCTATCCTAATGTCCCATACAAACCTACTAGTTGAGCCATCACACCACACCACACACACACACACACACACACACACACACACACACACGCTTCCTTTCCCCTCTTGGTCCTTCTAAGGACACTTGGAAAACTGGAGTTGAGAGTTAAGATTCATATGTTTGCTTAGAGTAAACCTAACAAGCAACTAGGGAGAAGGTGGGATTTTAACAGCAGCAGCCCAAGTCCACAGGAGAAGAGGGGGAATAAAAAAGAAACCATCAGACATTAAGTAAAACTAATTCACATTCACTGGTTTATTATTGATCACGGGGCACTTCACATCAACACTAAAATTCTTTATTGCAAGTTTTACAATAACCAAGTAAATTCAGTCCAAAAACCACAATGATCACAAGGGGGGTGAAAAATCTACCTAAAGTCTGGAGTTTCCGTCTCAGAACTCAAAGTTCTTTTTTATATTCTTTTGGCTCCTCAAACTGAACAGCTAGGAGAGGCTCCCGAGATGCATTTAGCTTTGTCTGCTGCCTTTCCCCCCCCTTCTCCTCCCACCCCCCCAAACAATGATACAAAAGAACTTCATAGCTTTGTTCTCCTTAAAATGACTTCCCCCTCCCTCACCTCCCCTGATGCATTTTTCAATGCAAAAGGCCTAAGGGGGAAAAAAGGAAAAGAAGAAACAGAAGAATTGGCCTAAAAACGTCTCTTTCCTTTTTCTTCCCTCTTTCCCCCTGAAAATTAACCAGAACTGGACCATCGCACCTTGCAATATATATATATATATATATTTTTTTTTACTGCTTTTTTTTTCTTAAAAAATAAATAAAACCCCCAAATGGCCTAAAAAAAGCCCCGCAGGTACCATGCTAAGACAACATCACATGCTTAAAAGGGTCCTTAACAGTGGAACGGAGAGAAGGGGAGAGGGGGGGCTTGTTTCCATGTATCTGTTGTTTCTGTTTGGAATAAGCAAAGGACAAGAGGTGGGGGGAACAGAAGAAAGAACCAAAATATATATATATATATATATATATATATTAGATTCTATAAATAAGAGTCAATTTGTGTGTGGGGGGTGGGGAAGTGGGTATGGGGGCGAGGGGGGTGTGATTTATGTTTTATAACCTGGTAATGTCCTCTGCTCGCTGCTCCTGTGGTGTTGAGCTTTGGGAATGGTCTTCAGTAGGGCCGGGGGTGGTTGCGGGCAGGGCGCTGGGCGCCGCTCCGGCTGGTGGGGCGGATCTGACTTTGGTGTTGGGGAGTCGGTGGTCCTTCTTCCATTTCATGCGACGGTTTTGGAACCAAATTTTGATCTGCCGCTCGGAGAGACACAGCGAGTGGGCGATCTCGATCCTTCTCCTCCGGGTCAGGTAGCGGTTGTAATGAAACTCTTTTTCTAATTCCAGGACCTGCTGGCGGGTGTAGGCTGTCCTCGAACGCTTGGGTTCCCCTCCATTATAATTGGGGTTCACTAGGAGGAGGGGAGGGGGATGGGAAAAGCAGATAGGGGGTTCAGAGGCAGCAGGCTTTCCTGACCCCCAACCCCCACCCCCTTCTCAGCTCGGAGGAGCAGGAGGGGAAAAATAATAAAGTCATCGAACTAAATGGGTTATAAAGAACTTGAGGGACGCTGAAGACTTTGTAGTCTAATAAGAGGGGAATCCTCATTGTAACGCCACTGAATTATTTATGCGCCCTTAGAAAGCGAGCAGAGTTTTCTCACATACATAACAGATCCTAGCACATGGCTCGGACTGCCCAGAGTAGCTAAGCCATAAAATTTATGGGGGATGTAATTACCCATTCTCGCTCGTAAATCCAGTTCAATTGTGCTAACCCAGAGACGCTCCTGGAGAGAGAGAGGGGGAAGGAGAGAAAGGAGGACGGGAGCCGGAGGGGGGACTGGGGAGGGTGGGAAGTGTAGAGGAAGAGGGGAGGGAGGAGGAGAGCAAAAAAGCAAAGTTGCCTACCCGTGCTAACGTGGATTTTTTTCATCCATGGATACACTATGGGCTGCTTGGATGCGGCGCTGGAGGGATGATCTGGGGCTGGCTGGCTGCAGGCTGGCGGGGCTGGGGAGGGGGAAGTGGAGGAGCCGGAGAGAGGAGCTGGCTCGCAGAGCGGCTGCGATTTCTCGGGGTGATGGTGCCCCGCCTGAGCCGGCCCGTGGCCTCTCGGATTGCCCGGTCCCTGGAGACTGGTACAGCTATATTGGCGCTCGGGATAGCTAGACCGTGGAGGTGGTGGTGGGTACAGCTCTTGATGGTGATGCTGAAATCCTGATTCCCTGGTCCGGCCGTAATATTCCGGACTATGCTCAGGGATGTAGCTATTTTGCGAATATTCCTCGCATGGAGGAAATTTCGGATCGATGTAGTTAGAGTCCATCAAATAGGAGCTCATGATCATTAATTTCTGGAGTGGAAAATAATTTTTCTCGCTTTGTCGTTTTTCTGCTCCATAAAGCCCTCCTACTAGCTAGCGACCCTGTAAAGTTACTTTCACCATGTGACTGCGCCGGCCAATCACGCCAAGCAACCTAGTCCCCGGATAAGGAACAGAATCGCTTTATTCAAAATGTATCCAATTTTTTTCCTGGTGGTGGTGGTGTGGGGGTGAGTGGGGGGCTTTGTGAGGGGGAGACTAGCCCCAAACTGACTGGAGTTAGGGTGTCTTCCTTCAACCCTTCAGTCAGTTTTCCCCAGCCCAAGAAGGCAAGGGTACCCCCCCAAGTCCCACTCAGAGAAAAGTAGAATCTGATTTGGGGCGTTGGAAGGTTGTGTGAGAGAGCCCCAAACCCCAGTCGTATTGTGTCTCCTTGATTGTATGTATTTTTTCCGAATGAATCCATTAATGGTTGTGTGTCTCAATCTGTCTAGGTCGAGAACCAATGAAGAGTGTGAAGTTGGAGCAGAGGTTGGGTGGGAGAGGACACCAGGCTGAGCAGGACACTGGTGTACCACAAGTCTAAGAAGACCAGAGCCCATGCCCTTCTCTGCCCCACTTAAACATACTCACCCAAGCCTACCCTCCGACTGTTGGGAGAGAAGGTGAGGTAAAGAATTTTACCTGGCAGGTAGAGCTGGCTGTATGCAAATGATTGTCATGCCTGAAGGTCTGGATGCCCTTAACTTGGTTGGAGAGAGATGCTATGTCTTTGGAAAAAGGCAGAATTCAGAACTCTTCCTCTTCGATTCCCCATTCTCACAGCTTCTCCCCCCAGAACCAGAGCTTCACCTTTACATTTTCAGTGTTGGGACTTTTCCAATGTCCTACCTACCTTGGCTTTCCAACTCTTGAAAATCATCTAAAAGGACTGCATCTGGGATTTTGGAAGGAAAAAAAACTGATAACATTTACAGAACTCTATCAATATTGACCATATTTCTACAGATGACCTATGTCTATAGCTATTACACAAGTAGATGTAGGATATCTCTATAAGTAGAGATGAGTAAATTTTGGTGCGATAGAATGCTTGCCGGTGCCCATTGCATGTGTAATTTTATGTATATACCTGTTAGGTGTGAGGCACTATCTATGGTACATGTGTGTAAACATGCATCCCAGAACACCCTTGGCTTAAGGCTGAATCTTAAGTGCAAAACTTCCCCCAGACCTCCAAGGAGCCAGAGGGTATTTTTTTTGTGGGGGGGGAGTATAGAAGTGGGGTCCTTTGGCGAGTGTGCATTGGAAAACAGGGAAAGGTGAAGATTCTGTTCTTCCAAGACTAGGTTCTGACTCAGCTGGGCCTATGGGGAGGTGGGGAGGGGATAAGGTGGAAGAGAGAAAGGAGAGGGGTTTTGGGAGATGGGATAAGGACCTGAGTAGATTCCTACTGATGTCCTTATCCATCCCCCATTCCCCCCAAATTAGACTACCCTGATGGCTTTCAGAAGGAGGAAAGGAGAGATAAGTGGAAACCTCACCAAGGTGGGGGAAATATAAGGCCCAATACAACACACCCTCAGAGCTGAAGAAGCCACTTCAGGACATCGATTCCAATTAACTGCCCCTGGATAAGTCATAGTTTGGTTGGGGGGGGAGAGTGCCGGGGGACAGGGGAGGGAAGAGGAGAGGAGAGAGGAAGGGAGGGAGCCGGATCCCCTTGTTGTACTTGATAACAATTATAGTTTAAAATCATAGCTTGCCGGGCCCAGCTATATTTTACTTGATAACAATAAAAGTGACACATAAAGTTAACTGTTTATGTTTTATTTATTAGACTAAATCTGCCAGCGGTGGTAGGAGCGTTTGCCTCGTCGCTGCAGCTTTTATAGGGCTGTAAAACGTCATAAATCAGTCTAGGGGAATCGCCGAGGCTCTTTGTGTCGGAGTAGGCGTGCTGCTGGCGGCCGCTGCCTGCTCCCTTCTTTCCACGAAAAGTCATAATGTGATTTTTTTCCCCCTCTGATTTTATTATTATGATCGCCGCCGTGATTAGTCAATCTACCTTTAATTCGCCACCCTGCGCTGCCACTGCCACTACCGCTGCCTCCCCTCCCCTCCCGGCCTGGTTGACACTTGAATTAGTACCTTTTAAAACAGCATAACAACTATTTGAGGGTTTAATTAGAACATCTGCAATTAAGGGAATGGGAAGGAGAAAGGGAAGAGAGGAGCTGAGAGAGGGGAAGAGACTAGAGCAGGGAGACTCAGGCTTATTCCTTTCGCTTCTAGAGCTTGGGGGGGCGAGAGTGAAAGATCTTCTCTCCCCCCAAATTAAGCCCCCCCCCTCATTAAGGGATTGAGGAGGAGAGGGAAAGGCAGCGGAAGGGGGAAGAATAAGAAGAAATCAAATTAAACCTCTGAATTGCAGCTATCCACTGCTCTGTTCTTGTTGGCAACTAAGTATTCTTTCTTCAAAGTGCTACCCACTCCCACTTTCCTCTTTTTATTTCTTCTTAGTCTAGTCTATGACTTCAAAGCTACCAGTTTTATAATTCATCTCTACCAAACCGTCCTACCACAACCAAATCTATATTCTTCAGTACGAAGGCTGTTCATTCTTTAGAATAGGAGCTTTGGTTATGTGTGGGTGTGAGTGAGTGTGTGTATACACACTCTCTGGAAAGGGGCACATTCCTTCTCCCTGAAGGGCAGAGAAAGCACCCTTCTTGTGCATACACATACACACCCTCAATAGGACTGGGGTGGAATGTTTGAATCCCCTGGAACATTGAATAATCCATTCAGGGAAATCAGAGCCAAACTTGATTGAAACTAGCTGGGAGTTCTGGTGGGAGGGAGCAGGAGGCTGGTTTGAGCTGCCTGTGCCTAAGCAGGGAGGTAGTGTAGGTTAATTGGGGAAAGTAAGATCCTAGCTCTAAATAGAGCTAGTAGTTTGGGAAGGAAGAAGTAAACAGTGTAATTCCAAGCTATGGGAGAGAATCAATGGCTAATCGTGAGCTGGAAATCAGCTTTCTCCACTGGGACACTGAAAAGTTAGGTGGGACTGAGGGAGAAGTGAAGGCAAAGCTTTCCACAAATATTCAGAATCCCCTTTCTAGGCCTGATGCTGATGGAGTCTTCCTCTCTGATCTTTGTCTGCCTTCTGGATACATGCATGCATGCATGCAAATGTACATACATACATGTATGTCTTTTGCATATATAGATTACATGTATCCATAATAATGTATCTATGTATGTATATCTATACACGTGTTCATGTATATGTGTGTGTGTGTATTTTCCCCTTCACCTGTGATTTCATCCATTAAGGGAGCTTCCTAGTGAGGAAATTCCTTCACAAATTCATAATAGAGATATGTACATGTCAGAGGGAATGGCTTTTATCATATATTAGGGGACTCACCTACTTAGATTTTCTTTAGGAATCTCTATCATTCTCCCTTTCTAGCCCCAGCCCTCTGCCCTCCAAACTCCTCACACTTTTCTTCCTGTTTCTAAAGACTAGCCTCTATCATAGCCTCCAATAAACTCATTTGATTATCTGCACGAAGGACCACATGGATGCATACCCCTAAAGCCTTCTGTTTATGCAGGTAAGTTTGTGTTATAGGAACTATCCTGAACACAGGGTGGGAGATCGGATTTAACTCTGCATTAAGCTAATATAACTACATTGTTAACTAACAACATACACGCAAACATAATACTAAATGCCAGCATGTGTGCCATAAAGATGCACACACACAGGGATTTGATACCATATTTGTACATCTCATTGAATTCTTGAATGTGAAGAGGAATCTATGTATTTATTTATACTCACACACTTAGACATCGATAGGACTCTGGGCATATATATTTACTTAGACCCACACCCACACTTTCTCTACATTTTGAAAGCTATTTTTGAGCAAACATATACATGTGCCCTTCACCTCTAATGGCCATACACATTTCACCTATAGAATATTCTGCATACCCCAACTTGCTCCCTTCCATAGATTTCCTGTTTGCATAGAGAAGCCACTGGGGCTTCCATGGCGTGTGAAAAACACTTCAATACTAACCTCCTCAATCCTTTTGTATTCCCCCCCTCTGCCTTCCCACCCCCATGGTCAGCTAGGTTCATCCTCCTCCCCCTTGCCTTATCCTAACCAGCCATCTCTCACCCCAGCCATTCATGCACACATCCCGATATTTTCTAATTTTATTTTTATTTTTGCTGCATTTTCGCCAGCATTTACAGTCTGTATCACCCCCAACCCCCATCTCCTGTCGCCTTTCTCTACGTCTAGGTCTGGTTTCTCTTTTCGGAAACATGTTTCAGTACAAAGCGCTTCCCTTCTGACAGTACTGAAGAAAAATAAGTGTTCATTGTGTGTGTGGCGTTATTGTGTCCGGCATTACCATATTGACCGTTGGATAACCTATATTCGCTCCCCCCTCCCATTAACAATCTGCGGCCCGAGAACATAAGTAGCTCTTGAGACTTTGTGATGCTTTTAAAAATCTCAGCCCTTAGACTCACCCCACTCCCTTCTTTTCCAAGGGAGAAAGTGTGTGTATGTGGGGGCAGGGGGTTATTTTGATTTGGATTTGAAGATTTTTTGTTTTTCGTCTTTTTGGTTGAAGGGAAAGAATGGGAGAGAAGATCATGGTCGTCCCCTCCCCCACTCCACAAACTGCAGGATTTTTTTAAAGAAAGGAGACTTCCACAGCCCTCCCTCTTTTTTCTTTCCAAATAAGTTGACTTCTAGATGACAAGTAATTAATTCCATTTTAATTTCTCCCCCCCCCCAACAACTTGAAAGCTCCAAACTGAAGCGAGGTCCCCTTCTGGTTTTGTTCCTTTATGACGCCTGGCAGACAGGACTAATGTATGCAAAGGAATATGCAAATGCTTAATTGATTTTTTTCTTAAATCTCTTGTCAGTAAAAGTAATGAATTGGTCTAAAATGATTTTAATAACCCGGACGTGTCAGTAGAAAATGCTCAACCTTCCCCACCCCCCACAATCGCCTATAGTCTCAAAAAAACCAATTATGGGCCCGTTCATTTCCCCTCTTTTAAAATATTAAAGATGAATTTCTCTTGTTTGTTCGGAGATCTCGGACAAGGTCCTCTTCTGGCTCACCCCCCCCTTCCCCTTCCTTTCCCTAGAATTCAATTTTCTTCAAATCTCGTTTAAAGTGGCTTTTTAAAAAGTGGACGCATTTTAATATTGGTTAGACAGAGTGACCCGCATTTCACCTCGGTTGTTTGACTTGTTCCAATAGGTCACTGCCATAGAGTTATTGATGGGGAAACTCCATTGAAATTTGTCTCTTCGCAAATGGCCTTTAGATCTTCCAGTGAGTTCAATAACTAGTTATAATGTGGAAGGGGAAAAATGAAGGCCCTGGGCTAACGAATTTGATGTTTCATTTTTATGCTGGAGAAATTATTAGTTTGGGCTTTGGTCCCCTTCCTCCCCCCCCCATGCGGGTCTACTGAATTCCACCCCCCTTTTAACCTTAGCTTCTGCTCTTGACCCCCCCTTTATTTTTTTTTAAATTTCATTCTTACTTTTACAATCTCCAACAGGAGGAAGGAGGAAGCTGAAGCTACTGGAGGTCTGTAATCTGAACTTTCGTTCTTGGAATGGGAAAGACTTTTACTTTTTAAAGGGTGGTGATGGGTGTGCTGTTGTGTCTTTTAAAGGCCTGAGAAAAAGCCTGGCTTTAGAACGGCTTAGTGTAGATGCTTCTAACCTTTGCTGGCTTTTGCAGCTGGGCAGAAAAATGTAGCGAGCTCATTGAGGACCTTTTGCTAAGGCATTAAATGTGTCAGAAACTGCGAGGCAGGCTCAGCTTTGGTCCCACTTCTGATGGGGAGAAACCAACGGGTTCTTGGGGTTGGAAGTGTTTTAAAAGAGGCATTGGAAGGGAGGGAAACCGGCTTCTTTTCAAGGCCTCTGTACCAAAATGACTCCTTCCAGAGATTTGCTGACTGGAAATTGGCCGGGGGTCACCCATTTGTTAGACTTTGTCTCTCCTTAGCCATCACTGCATTCTCTCTGGGGAAGCCTTAAAGTCCAGGAAAAGGTAAAATTTAGTAGAATCAATAAGACTGATGCAGAGGGGGCCTAGAGAAGTGAATGGGGTCGGGGCAGAGGATCTGGTTTTTGCATAAGGTTTCCCACGGGGAAAAAGAGGTCCTTCAGCTTCCCCTAAAATAAAAAAAATAAAAGTTGGTGGAGAGAGTCCTTGGCTCCCTGCAGAAATATAGCTGGAGAAAAGATACAGCATTGGAGACTCTGCACTATAAGCTCTCTTCAGGTCTATCTCCCTCACAGATGACCCAGAACCTCGCCAACTTACATCTCTATCCACATTATTATTAATGGTAATAATATCAATAATAGCATTTTTCTATCGGCAGGTCAGAGCACCCAGTTTTTCCCTTGACATTTTTCTCTTTTTCAAGCAGGAATTTTTTTTCTTTCTTGCAAAAGGAAAGCAATCGATCCTCTAGGCCAGCTCCCCAAGCTTCGGAGTCCCCTTTTTAAAATGTGTCATCATATCCTTCATAACCCCCTTAAACACCCCCAGCTAATCCCAGTCACTACAAATCTCTATATTTCCCATTTTCCAGAAAGAGGACAGATGGACAGATATAGGCTGTCTCCGTGGGATCTAAGACCCCAACCCCCTCCCCCAGTACCTCCAGATGAGGTTGCTCCGGCTCGACTTAGACCATAGATAGGTTCTCTGAATGACAAACCAATCTCCCCTCAGTAGTCTCCGGGGATCAGTACCCCAGTTCCCGAGACTCAGGCCCGCTAGAACCAAACAAAAACAAAAACAGAAACGTGGGGGAAGGGATGGGAGTGGTTGAGACCAAGGCCTGAAGCAAGCCGGACTTCTGAGAAAAGACATCCTATGTCCTCTCCAGCCAGTCGGGAAAATGAATCAATAGTGATTGGTTAATCAACTTGATAGAAATCCCTCTAGCTTCCCTGTTTCCGTCTCTGCCTGAGCTGTGCGCACCTCTCACCCTGCAAGCCAAAGAATTAAAATCTGCCTCGTGCTCTCCCACTCGTTTTCTGAACCCGAAAACTTCCTCCCTTGGAAACAGAAAGAGCCCTTGCCAGAAGTACACTGGGGATTCACTCCTATGTTAAGAAAGGGATTAATTCTTTATGTTAACATTTTTTTTAGTCTAGTCTGTTTCTGACTGTTTAGATTTCCCCACATTCCTTTAGTATTTTCGTCTCTGCTCTGAATCATCTAATTTACTTAGTATCACTCCTGTTTCCACACTATGCTGTTTTCATTGTTCAATACGATTCGCTGTCCTCTACCCGAATTATTCCATCTTGTTCTAGCATCCAAAAAAAAAAATCTATTTTCTGTCTTTTTTCTGGGGCATCCTATGTTATCCCAAATTACGTTCCTATTACAGTACCCCTCTACTCTGTTCCCGGTTTGAGTGTAACTGTGTTTTACATTATGTTATTCTGTCATCTAGAAATATATGCAAATACATACACTTCTATTTTCGTCCGTATCAGAGAGAGATGCACACATTTTATGTATTTGTGGATAGAGATTCATTCTGATTTTTAGACACATATATGGATAGAGAGGAGATAGACCTGTTCATACATACACCTCTCTATGGAGTCTTCCTCTATAGTATTGTTTTAAATATGTTATTTTCTTACACATTGTTCACCCTTGTGTTCTATACAGTTCAACGTGTACATTAGCACACGCTGGAGTTGGGTCTCTAGCAAAAAGGTCTCCAGTTATGACCTCTGCAGGCACAAATGCAGACACAACTCTGTAGAGAAGGTAAAACCCCTTCCCAATAGATGTGCTCTCCTCACTATCTATGGATAATGGGAAGACTTGAGTGTAAAGAAATAGTCATAACTCGAACATTGAAGAACGGGTGCAGACAAACACAGAAAGACGGTAATCTGAGTTTCATTTTTTCCGCTGTATCCCCCCCCCCAACTTCTTCAGGTGCACTCATAGGTGCTCAAGAAAACCGAGTTGAGAACTTTCTTTCACCGCGCCCCATCCCCGCTCCCCTCCCCCCAGTTAACTGTGGTCCTCCAGCAGAACCGAATACCTCAAGTCATTGAATCTACGCAGTCCGAGGGTAGGGGGATTTAAGGAGGGGAGAATCCAAGGTGGAAGCCAACTGTATTATTTTGGAGGGTGGAAAA